CACCCCGCCACGCGCTCGAGATGACCCAGAACGGCCCTTCGCTGACGCCTCCAAGACTGAGCAACCTGCTAGACCTGCAAGCCGTCATAGAGACCCTAAGGACCACCTCAAGGAAATCCAACTTCCCGCGCTGCTGCTCAAGGAAGCTCAGAAGTATACTTTCGTGAAATTGCTGCAGGTCGTAAAACGCAGGCCCCGACGCAGGACCCATGGAGGCCCCCGTTTCCGCTCGAAACCTCTGCCTCCAAACGACGTCGGCAACCCCTCGGCCGGGCCCCGCAGCCCAGCCGGGCCCGGCGGACGTCTTTTCACGCCGCGGGGCGTTGAGCCCCGCAGACGGCGCCGCAACGCGAAAACCCTAGTGGGGCGGAACCCCGAAGAAGGCGTAGGAAGGAGGGCCACGAGCACAATCATCATTTGTTCCGGCAACTTCACAGCGACTTCCTTGACTGAGAGGGCCCTGGGACACGCGAGTAAACGCACGCAAATAAAAGGATTCCCCATATTTTTATATGTTCTAGGTTTTTGTCTTTTCCCCACTTCCCATATTCTCACATATTTTCGGGGGGGTGGGCGATCAATTGCGTCTGCGCGTGTGTTTTCCCTCATGATTGACAAGGAACAGCCCCGCAAGGGCTTCCAAGGCCTTGCCGGGCAAAAAGCTAAAATGACGCACGTGGAAACCATCCGCCGAGACGGCGCCGCCGCGTCGACGCGATTCGCTGAGCCATCTCGGCCCTGAGGGGGAAAGGCGCGGAAAAAGAGCGACTGACTGCGCCTGGTCTCGATGCGGCCCCTCTCCCCGTGCCCGCCGCGACTGAAAACGCACGCCTCCGGCTCGCAACGAGGCGCGCGGATCCGCCCTGAATTCTCCAAACGCCGAAGACGTCGCGGCGGGGGCCAAAGGAGTCGGATCCATGAGCAGAAAATGAGCGCCCCCCCGCATTCGGTCCAAAACTTCTTTTAAACGCCCCCCAACTCGACTGCTTGGCTTTGACGGAGGACTTGGAATCGGCGGGAGGGTCGACAAAACGAGAAAACGATCCAACGAACAAGGGTCAGAGAAAACGTGACCGCGACCCAAGGGCCGAGAAAATGAGAAACCGAGAAGACGAACCAGGGTCGGACGACAAAGCGAGACCACGACCCAAGGGCCGAGAAAACGAACAACAAACCATGGCCCGACAAAACAAGACTACGACCGAGGGGCCGAGAAAACGAGACCACGACCAACGGGCCGAGAAGACGAGAAAGCGAGACAACGAACCAGGGCCCGAGAGAACAAGACCACGGCCCAGGGGCCGATCAGACGAGAAAAAACGGGCAGGCGAACCAGGGCCCGGGAAAACGAACGAGGGCCCGAGAAAACGAGGCCGCGACACAAGGCCGAAAAAAACGAACCAGGGCCCGAGATAACAAGACCATGACCCACGGGCCGATAAAACGGAAAAAAAAGGAAAACAAACCAGGGCGCGAGAAAACGAACCAGGGCCCGAGAAAACGAGACCGCGACACAGGGGCCGAAGAGGCGGAAACAAAAATGGAAAACGAACCAGGGCCCGAGACAACGAGACCGCGACCCAGGGGCCGAGAACAGAGAAAACGAGAAAACGAAACAGAGCCAGAGAAAACGAAACCACGACCCAGGAGCAAAGAAACGAGAATGCGAGAATACGAACCAAAGCCAAAGAAACCGACGCCACGACCTCGAGCAAACGAGAAAACGAGAAAACGGACCAGGGCCCGAGAAACCGAGACCCCGACCCAGGGGCCGAGAAAACTTCCTGCTTTTCATTGCAACGAATGGCCAATACGGTTTCTAATTCTAGGACGTCCCATCTCAATTTCTCTCTAACTCCATTTAACTTCCTTGCCCCGAATGACCATAATCGTTTCATCTCATTCATGACCATTCTGGGGCTACCCGATGGCAATTCATCTCTAAGTCAATTTTTCCCTGGCCCCAGCTGGGCATCATCTCCTCTAGCTCCGGGCTGCCCCCATCAACGCCCACCCCCCTTGGCTTGCGCAAATTCAATCTTGCGCGCATGGGCCGCAATTCCAAGTTCATCCATTTACAACATACTGTTACCGCCCTAGCTCCCCCTGTCTCCTCCCCCATTTCGTCGTCGTCGTCCTCCTCCTCCTTCTCCTCCTGCTCCTTCTCCTCCGCGCCCTCCTTCTCCGCCCCCGCTTGTCTTCCTCATTCTCACCCTCCACCTCTTTTTTCCTCCTCCTCGTCCCCCCCCTTTCCCCCTCCCCCTCCCTCCACCTCCTCTGCGTTTTCGCCCTCCTCAGTCCCCGGCGCCGCCCCCCTCGCGCCGAGGGCCCGAGTTGCAAGCCCGCGACGCCCAGGCACGGTAGCGCCTAGGCCGGATGCCCACGACGCTCGAATGCACGGGCCCCCCGCGTCGAAGATGCGGCCCTTGAGGCGCGCCGCGAAGTCCGGCCCGACCCAATCAGCATCACGCGTGGAACCCTCCATGCGACTCGACAGGGACACGGCGGCAGCATGGAACTTTGCGCCCAACGGTAGTGCAGCCATCCACTCCAGCAGTTCCAAGATGATGGACAGCAGCTCCTGTCGGCGCAGGCGGGGGGCGCCGGTCTTGGTGGACTTGGTTGCGGCCGCCGCCTTCACGTCGGTTTTGGCGCGTTGCAAGAATCTGTGAAGGCGCATGGCGCCCCCGAACTCTTTCCCCGCCGCTACCGAGCAACCGTAGTCGAAATGCCCGTCTGTGACTGTGCTGGGGTCGTTCACCGTGTGCTGCATAAACAATATCAAAAGCTTTCTCCGGGCAGCGTCGCCCTCTTCGTCAGCGATTATGAAAATCGTCGGCGCGAAAGACACGCGCGGGAAATCCCCGTCGTCGACTGATAGGCCGGAGGGCCCGACGGTGCCGAGCAGGAGCCCCTCCTCGACCAAAACCGAAAACACATGGCGTCGGCCGCTATGTACCAGCGCGTCGTCTGGGCCGAGCACGGGCCAGACAACATAGAGTGCGCCACATCAACTGCACCACGTGGGTTTCAAGACATAGGTTGTTCAAGATACATGGCACCGCGTCGGTTTCACCGTGGGCCGCGTAGATTGAACGACGTGGGTTGCACGACGTAGATTGCACCGCGTGCATTGCGCATCGGTAGCATATTTCAGATACGCAACAGCGCAGACTGCACTGCATAAGTTGCGCAACGCGCCCCAGAGCGACCCGAATGGGCCACGAGAGGCGCCCGAGACGGTCCAAGAGGGCCCCGAATCGTCGAGCGATCGGCGCGAGACGCCCGCGATGGCTTCCAGACGGCCCACGACGCGTGCAAGACCCCGAAGGGGCCACCGCGAGGCCTCCCAAGAAAGCCCCCAGAAGGCCCCGCGAAGCCCAAATCGTCAATTACCACATGGTATATATATATATATATATATAGATGCCTTGCGAAGGACCCAACCATATACAGTTGTGAATACCGCAAATATGAATATCGTTTTCGGTGGCGCTACCTCTGGGTCGGGGAACCGCATGCGAACGCCCCCACTGGGGCCTACGGTGGAGCTCCCTATGGGGCGGCGAAGCGTTGCCCTGGGTGGGGGAGACGCATGCGGACACCCCACTGGCGCCTTCGGTGGAGCTCCCTAAGGGGCCACGAAGCGCTACCCTGGGTGGGGGGACCGCACGCGGACGCCCCCGCTTGGGCCTACGGCGGAGCTCCCTGGGCCGCGAAGCGCTGCCCTGGGTGGGGGAACCGCGTGCGGACACCCCCGCTGGGGCCTACGGTGGAGCTCCCCATGAGGCCGCGAAGCGCTGCCCTGGGTGGGGGAAGCGCACGCGGACACCCCCACTGGGGCCTACGGTGGAGCTCCCTATGGGGCCACGGAGCGCTGCCGGGGGGGGGGGGGGGCGCATGCGGACGCCCCCGCTGTGGCCTACGGTGGAGCCCCCTACGGGGCCACGGCGCGCTTCCCTGGGTGGGGGAACCGCATGCGGACACCCCCGCTGGGGCCCACGGTGGAGCCCCCCATGGGGCCACGAAGCGCTGCCCTGGGTGGGGGAACCGCGCGCGGACACCCCCACTTGGGCCTACGGTGGAGCTCCCTATGGGGCGGCGAAGCGCTGCCCTGGGTCGGGGGACCGCGCGCGGACACCCCCGCTTGGGCTTGCGCTGGGCCCCCCTATGAGGCCGCGAAACGGTGCCCTGGGTGGGGGAACCGCATGCGGACACCCCCGCTGGGGCCTACGGTGGGGCTCCCTATGGGGCCACGAAGCGCTGCCCTGGGTGGGGGGACCGCATGCGGGCACCCCCACTGGGGCCTACGGTGGAGCTCCCTATGGGGCTACGAAACGCTGCCCTGCGTGAGGGAACCGCACGCGGACGCCCCAACGAGGGGGAGGGAAGGAAGGAAGGAAGGAAGGAGGAACGTGGTGACTGTCCTTTCAAAACGAGAACCCAACGCCACATGATTTTTTTTTTTTTTTTTT